TGGCAAATAACAAAGTTGACTTCTCCTCAGCTATTTTTTAAAACAACAAAAGAAAACTTGACCACGACTAACGATAGTAAGCATCTACTGCTTAAGTATGAACCATGTATACATCACACTTTCAGCTTTTATCTCAGGCTTGGATAATTGCTATTCACTCCTATCAAAGGAATAAATACAAAACAAAACCAGCAGCACTGTAATAACCATAACTGTTAGGAAAACCTATTTGTTTCTAACTGGATGTTTTTTTTAAAAAAATCCTATTAAAAGATATTTACAGTAAAGGAGAACTGAATTAGAGAACCTAAAGAACCTGAAAAGAGCATGTTCTGGGCAACCGTTCCTTCAGCAAGTAAGGACTGACTGACATTGTACAAAGGAATAGTTGCATGATATAGATGGGAGGGATTTATTCATGGTATCTTTATAATTTTTCAGTTTCAAAGGTTCTTTTCAGTTGCAAAGGTTCTTTAGAAGGTCTGAACCTACTGTTAGGTAAGAATTTTGCATATGCTCAGAAAACTCTCGATTCTTTTTGCAATATCACATACAAAACATACTTCTGATGGAATATTCTGTAAGCTCTCTGCACTGAAGCATTAAAACTCTTTCCAGAAGAGATTCTTCTGAGAGAGATTTCTGGAAATAGAAAGAGCCCAGAAATTTTGGCAGCAGCAGAGAAACTGGTGCTGCTTCTGAATATGAGATCCAAAAGCCTGAGGTGATGTCCAGCCATGAAGCCCAACCTAGTTCCAAACCGGGAAGAAAAAGCAAGACTGGTAAAAATGTTTGTCATAGATCCTCCTAGATGCACTGTTGTGATAGAAGCATCAGTAAGAAGGAGTTAGAAATTTGTTCGTGATTGCAAAATTTCTGGTATTAACTGGCATTGCTCCAGAATTTAAAACAGAGAATGGATATGAGCACAAACCTCTTGTTTCTGAATGGTGCTAAGCATTAGTACGTACTGGAGCTTCTTTTTAAGAGCAGAAGAGGACATGCTCAACTGTACTTTCACCTACAATGCTCGACAGAAAGTAAGAACTTCATCCATTTTGGGGTTAAGTAACAAGACAATGTGTTTAACAGAGATGCTGTCTGGCAAATTTGAGAACTAGAGCCACAAACCACCATAGAACAACGTGGTTGAGACCTAGACTCTCAACACATTGCATGCTGGATCCAAAGCCACCTTTAGGGATAATCTCAAAGCCCACTGGATCACAGCGACGTTGAAACAGCAGCAAGTTTTGCTGCCTTAGGGATTGTCCCAGCTGCAAAGACAGCATCTGACGGAGACACCACATTAAGCAGCAACAGACGTTTCTGCATCTTAGACTCCTATTTTCTTATAGGATTAGAAAAATCAACAGAAATTGCAAAATCAGGGCTATACTTATCAACTGTGTTGCCAATCTCTTGCACATAGCCTGGGGTAAAGTGATTTCTGAAACTACCTATGTTTACAATCCCTATAGAGAACAGTATGCAAATTCTCTGGATCGAAAATCTGAAAAGAAACTCTATTGTTAGGGAATCCCAAACTCCTCTCATCTGGGGTTTGAGAGTCAAGCACAGCCCATGCTGCACGCCCAGTGAATGAACAAAGAGACAGCAGGACAGAAGCACGCCTTGTACAGGTGTCAAAAGTTAAAGACACCAACACCTACAGTGTACATACAGTATATTAATTCAACCCTCAAAGGAAAACTTTCTTCCTTCTCTTTTAGAGGAGTGTAAAGCTTGCTTTCTTTTCTATATAAATGAAATTACCAAACTTTCACATCTCTTTCTCCTTCTCCCCCAACCTGTCCTCCCTCATGCCAAACTCACTGAAGGACCTGGAAACAAGACGGTGTATGAGGCTGTGGCTCAAGATACAGCTCCTTCTGTCTCCTCAGTAAGAGGTTAGAAAAAGGAAACTGAGCTCTAAGACTTTTAGGGTCCTTCTACAGTTTGTGGGGAACAAAGTCTGAAATGCATGTCACGAGTCTTAAGACAATGCTATCCAGGCCTTTCCAAAAGCCTGGTGACCCGGGACAGAGACAGAGCTGAGGTACTCAATGACTTTTTTGACTCAGTCTTTACTGGCAAAGACTGCAGCCACACTGCCCATGACACAGAATGCAAAGGCGAGGATCGGAAAAACGAAGAACCCCCCACTGTAGGTGAAGATCATGTACGAGACCACCTGAGGAACCTGAAGGTGCACAAGGCCATGGGGCCTGATGAGATACATCCACTGGTCCTGAGGGAACTGGCAGATGGAGTCGCTAAGCCACTAGCAATCATATTTGAGAAGTTGTGGCAGTCTGGCGAAGTTTCCCCTGACTGGAAAAGGGAAACAACCCCAATTTTTAAAAAGGGAATAAAGGAAGACCTGGGAACTACAGGCTGGTCAGTCTTGTCTCTGTGCCCACCAAGATCATGGAGC